AAAAAAAAAAAAAAAAAAAAAAAAAAAAAAGAAATTGAGCTGGATGAGTGGTGTTCAAATGTTTCTTAGCCGCAGAAGCCGTAGGAAAGCCCTCCTGTTAAGGATAACTGAAGCTGCCCCCACGTCACCTCTGGATGCGTCAGTTCTTTCAAGAAGCTCCTAGAACTCCAAAGGCATGGTTGAAAGCCACCGGACCAGATGACTTGACTTCCCTTCTAACCCAAGATTCTAATTGATTCTAATTGTTTTCCAGCTTTGATCATTATCAAAGTGATATGTTTTGTATAGGATTTTAGCTCTAATGTACTTCAAATCTTTATCATCTATCTCTTTTATCAAATTCAGAGTTTCATGCCAGTAAAGCAATCATTTGCTATTGTTGGATGTCCATTTCAGCTGCTCTGAATGTGTTGTAATTACAGGTTCACTGTTGACAAGGACCATTTGGTGGTAACTGATGTAAATGACGATGATGGTGGGACCTACACGTGTGTGGCCAACACAACTCTGGACACCGTTTCTGCCAGTGCTGTGCTTAGGGTTGTCGGTAAGAACTAGAACACGTACAACACAACTGGCTGCCCTGTTTTAGGCTGAAAGGAAAAATTGTCAATAGTAAATATTTGCTTGTTTTAGTTTTACAGTTTTATAGGTGAGTTAAATACTCACATTTTTCTTCTTTGAAAGATGCCTTTGAAGCGATAATTTCAGTATAAATATATTCTACAGCAGCACTGGAATAAAATGGTAGTTATGCATATTAGTGATTTTTTTATAAGAAAACTGGGGAAAATAATCTACTTTTATTTAAAATTGAAGAGTTTTCCCTGCTAAGTTGATACTGCATGTTTATCAATGCCATGTCTCACAGCTAAGCACAAGGCTTAGTTTTATAATCTTAATCATGTCCAGTCTTTGTCTTCTTATGCTATCTTATATCTTTCCATTACTAATTTTGATTAAAATCCTCTATATTACTGTCCTTTCTAGCTCCTACTCCAACTCCAGCTCCCATTTACGGTAAACTAATATGAGTCTTCTTTCTCTATTTTCTGTCAAACAGTTCACATTTGCAGAAAAAATTAATTACTTTCTTTTCTCTATCACATCATTTTGTTTCTTTGAAGAAAAGAGCTCTGTCAAATGTTCTGTTTTGGTGCCCATTTACTGCTATAAATCATTTCTTCACTGTAACTCTGGAACTTTTCACTGAATATATTGCCACTCGTGTCTAAATATCTCATATGTTATTATAAAGTCATTTCATTTAATAAAAGTCCCTCCTTGGTTTAATTTGCTTGTAAAGTAGCATAGTGCTTTGTCTAAAGCTGTCATCCTCATTTTACAGAATGAAAAAGCTATTTCAATTATCGTTTCCCAAATTAGGTTTTTATTTCAGTATATTAAAAGTTGTTTCAGAAAAATAAATGTTTTGGGATTCCATTTTCAAGAAACTTACATAGGAAAGCAATAGGTGTTTAGAACAACGTTTGACCTTTATATCAGAGAAAACCAACTCTCTGTGTGTTAACAAAAGATAAGTCACTGAAGAAAGACCAAAAGGAGGGCACTTCCAGGTTGTGTGAGTTTTCTGAGTCTGGCAAATAAATCAGAAATTATTTCCAGAAATCTTTTTGATTAAAGAACCCTCATCTTTATTTAGCATATAGATACAAAAATTAATTTTGTGGTGTAAACTCAGCTAGATTTTACATAGTATCATTAATTATGCTATAGAAGACCTGTCCCTTGTAGACATTTATTGCTTCTTTACTGATAGGCAGGAAGTGCCCCTGTTTTTTTATGGCCTCTGGTCCCCCAAAAGCCACAGTTACACCCAGGAGCAAGGTCAGGAAAAGGCCCAAGGGGAACGTTAACTCTCTGGATCTCAGAAGCATCATCATAAGAGGTAGACACCCTTCTGGGACACCTTCGTCCCAACAGGGGTCTGGACCCTGGTGTCCTCTGAGAGTAAACACACCCCCCCCACGTGCCTGATGACTATTGAACTGAGCATCTGCGTAAAGTGTGCATGCTGAGGGCTACTGATATAGCATCAATTTTAGAATTGCCTTAAAAATATAAATATTCTGGAGCCGGTCTGGTGGCACAAGCGATTAAGTGCACACGCTCTGCTGCTGGCAGCCCGGGTTTTGCCGGTGCAGATCCCGGGCACGTGCCAACGCACCGCTTGGCAAGGCATGCTGTGGTGGCATCCCGTATAAAGTGGAGGAAGGTGGGCACGGATGTTAGCCCAGGGCCAGTCTTCCTCAGCAAGAAAAGAGGAGGATTAGCAGATGTTAGCACAGGGCTGATCTTCCTCACATAAATAAATAAATAAATAAATAAATAAATAAATATTCTCCAGGAGCCCCCAAATCTGTAATTTTGCATGTTTCAGAAAGAACATTTGGTTCTTCTTTAAACAGTACACGTATTTGCCTGTATTTGTTTTTTAGCATTTGCTATTCTCTGTTTCTCATTTATTAGAAATTAAGCTTCAATATTATTTTTTCCATTTGTGCTCCTTCATGTTTATGAGTTGACTCACACTGAGAGTGCTGGTGAACTATATATGCCACTTCATTGGTTTTGGTTACAAGTAGTTAAGTTTCATTTGAAAAAGAAGCAAGCAGAACTCATTGATGCATTATCCTGGGTGCTCTGTGTGTTCCCAGCAACCTCAGTTGTTTCCATTTCATTTCAGTTGCATGTTCATTAACCATTAAGTGTGCTGTGTCTGTAAGATGTTTCCTCTGTGAATAAGATCACAAGTCAAGGAGAACCTCGTAAGGACAGATGGTTAACTATGATGTGTGTGTTTGGTCTGCAGATGTCCCGAATCCTCCCTTTGACTTAGAATTGACAGATCAACTCGACAAAAGTGTTCAGCTGTCATGGACCCCAGGCGATGACAACAATAGCCCTATTACAAGTATGTGGTGTCATCTGATAAACTTAATGCCCATTTTTGAAGCACTTTATCATATGCAATTGAAATTCCTCACAAAGAGATTTGCTGGCATTCTCAGCTTCGTTACTAGTAGAACAAAAACATTTATTTATGGCTCTCTTCTCTTCAGAGCTGGAGTTATTCCTGGTTACAGCTCCTGTATAGGACACTAATTAATTGCTGAAGATGTTAATTAAGCAAATCCACTGTCATTTTGTGTTTAAGATCCATAAACATCACCGTAAATTTCTACCACAGGGAGAATATGTATTGTAAGTTATTCATCTTGCCCATTAATATGGGAGAAAAAGATAGGAGGCCCAGGTGCTGTAATGCCCAGTCTATGTATTAGGAAATTGAGACTTGGTGAGTAAAGTGACTTTTCAGACCCACAGTTGGTAGCAGACCTGGATGTAGACATCCGGTCTGTTAACTTCCAGTCCAGGTCTCTTTCTCCTCAGTAGCCCCTGCTACAAAGTGGCACATTCAACAATGTCAGGTCCTCACCTTGATGACATCAGCCTAGGGAATAAAATCAGGTAGGGACCATGCCCTAAGGATACTGGAGAAGCTAAATAAAGTTAGACTACAGATAAGCTTAGAAGTTTTAAAACCAAAAAGATCCTTAAGAGAGTAGACACAAGCCTGTAATGTGTTATTACCTTTGGGTGTCTACCGCAGGAAGACTAAATTCCTTTCTGATGACTACCCAAGATTATTCTGAAATGATGTGTGGGTTGATTTCTTGCACCTGCTGGTAAAGCAGAATATTTCCAATGAAATTAAACAAAAGCCTCTTCTCTATCTTGTGTCATTTAGCGTTGTTCCTTTCTCAGTTGAGTTTTCAGTGCTTGACCAGAACACTCATGCAATCATGCTGAGTCTTCCAGTTAATTCGATACATTAGCAAGATTCGGCTGGTTAGGATGCTTGGTGACTCTTTTTACCTATGTTAACATGATGTCATTAGATTTCAAGGCATTTCTACCCTTTCATTCATTCACTCATTCATTCACCAGATATTTATTGAGTGCCTATTATGTACCAGGCATTGTTCCAAAACAAAATAGTCAAAAATCTCTGCCCATAAAGAGCCTATATTTTAGTTGAGGACACAAGATAAAATGAATACTATGTATTATGTTATTGTGTATAATGTCATTATATATGTGTGTATATGTATGTATTCACACACACGCGTGCACACACACACACACACACTACTCAGATCTCCCTTCAAGAGAGAACCTGCTGCAAGGAGTATTAACAGCAGGCTCCGTCTGCTGCACCTTCCCTGAGGATCTGCTGCAGTGTTCACATGAGGCCGCTCTCTTCCTGAGCTATTCCAGTAACTGAGCGCAGGGAGGGTCCTAGAGCTCAGCCATCCTTCATGCAGAACTTTATTCTGGGGCTCCTTGTTGACCTGGCTAGACTATCTATACTGCAGTCTGAGGCTTTTCCTACACAGTCCTCCTTCCTTCCCCCTCTCCTTTTATAGACGGCAGACCTGCATCATGTTCTGAAGATCTTTCCTGCCTACTCCTGCTTTTTCCTCCTTTTACCTTCCATGGATATTTCCCCAAATGACTCCCCTGCACTTCTAATTCTGTGTTTGAATCTGCTTCCTAGAGGACTCAAACACATATATATCTACACACATGGTTGTATGTGTGTATATGTGGTCTGTGTGTGTGTTTAGGCTGTGCAAAAAACACAGCAGGAGAAGATTAAAGAATATGGGGGTCAGGGATCTAATTACGAATAGAGTGGTCAGGAAAGGCCACATTAAGAAGGTAACCTTTGAGTATGTCGATAAAGACGTGAGGAGGGACTTGGTGAACACATTATGCAGTTGTATAGGGGAAGAACTTTCCAGACAGCACAAGAGAAAGAGCAAAGGCCCTAAGACAGGGCATGTCTACTAGGAGGTCAGTGTGGGTGGAGTGAAATGAACAAAAGGAAGTGAAGTAGGAGAGAAAGTTAAAGAGGGAAAGAGTTGGTGGGTGGCGGGGGGAGTGTGAACTCTACGGGGCCTTGTAGGCCATTGTCAGGGTTGGGAAGTAATAGGAGGGATTTAAGTAGAGGAGGGATTAATGGGTCGCTCTGGCTATTCTATTGAAAGCAGTCTACAGAAGAACAAGAGGGAAGCAGGAAGACCAGGCAGGACCAGAATTCTCAAACTGTGCACTGAAGTACCCCGTGGAACATCAGCAAACTCACAGGGGTGCCTCAGGATATTTTTTAAGTTTTTGATTTTAAAATTTTGATAATTAAAAAACACAGTGACGTCTGTCAGACACCATGTGAAATAGTAGCCTGAGGCAGTTTTCAGTTTCAATATTACATTGCTATGTCGCTATTATGACAATGTCATATCTCTACAGAGCCTTTGCTGTGATAAAAAGCAAGTACCATGTGAAAATCAGTGTGAAACAGAAAATGCAGAAGGTCGTGTCCAATCTGATTACAAGGTTTGAGAAGTTATGCAGTGCCCAATAAGTTTTAAGATGTTAAGACATAAATACTCATTAAGTTGTATGGACCTAACTACTTCCTACCTGGAAATGTTAGGTATTTCGTTTTTTTTTTTTTTTTTTGTGAGGAAGACCAGCCCTGAGCTAACATCCATACCAATCCTCCTCTATTTGCTGAGGAAGACCGGCCCTGAGCTAACATCTATTGCCAATCCTCCTCCTTTTTTTCCCTTTTTCTCCCCAAAGCCCCAGTACATAGTTGTATGTCATAGTTGCACATCCTTCTAGTTCCAGTATGTGGGTCACCACCTCAGCATGGCCGGACAAGCAGTGCGTCGCTGCGCGCCAGGGATCCGAACCCTGGGCCGCCAGTAGCAGAGCACATGCACTCAACCGCTAAGCCAGCCATGAAGAAAATTACTGAGGCGCTAAGTACACCTGAACTGAGAAAGTTTGGGAACTTCCGAGTTAGGAGGTTATACAATAATTCACATAAGAGATTATGGTGGCTTGGAATAACAGGCTGAGAGCGATGGAGGTGCTGAGAAATGGTCAGATTCTGCATATATTTTAAAGGTGCAGCCAACAGGGCTATTGGGAGTATGACAGAAGGAGAGCAACCAAGAAGGACTTCAGGGGTTTGACCTGAGTTGTCACTACCAGTTGGGGAGGAAGATCAGGATCACCCTTGGTCATATCCAGTTCGAGATGCTGAAGTAGACAAACAAGTGGAGTTCCTGAGAAGGCAGTTGACTATCCAAGTCTGCAGTTCAGGGGAGAGGTCTGGGCTGCAGAAAGGAGTGTGAAATCATCAGTTTGTGAGACTGGAGATCACCAGCAAATTAATGTCACTTCAGAGCACTACAACACATAATATTTCTAGTTCATATTTGTATCTATAATTGATATCATGGTACGTGGCACATAGGCAATTATTGAATATCTAAATACCTATTTTTTACAAGGGTAAAGCATGTACATAGCACAAAATTTTAGTAGATACAAGAGGGTATGCACTGAAAAGTTAGTCTTTATCCCACCCCTGACTCCTAGTTCCTCTGGTGACACCAGTGTTATCAGTGTGTATCCCCTGAGAAGTAATTCATGTACATTCAAGGGTATATGTGTGCGTATATGTCATAGTAAATCTTTTTACTCTTACAAAAGTGTGGTATCCAACACATACTCTTCTATACCCTACTTGGTTTCACTTAACAATATATACTCTGTGTCAGTACATATGAGCAGCTCTATTCATTTTTTACTGCTGCAGAATATTCCATTGTGTGGAGGCACCATAATTTATTTAATCAGCATCCTATTTATGAACATTTAGGACATTTGCAATTAGGTTGTTTCAATTGCAAACAGTGCTACGATGTGGATTCTTATTCACGTGTCTTTGAGCATATGCATAAGCACATTTATTCACAGTAAATCTCAATCAAAAGGTATCTCAGTTAAATATTATTAAATGTTTTAAGTTGACCTCTATAGAAGTTGTACCAATTTATACTTCACACAAACAAAATGTGAGAATGCTTGTTTCCCTGCATCATAGTCAACAAAGTGTGTTCAACCTTTGTTGCCAATCTGTTTAGTGGAAAACGGTATCTCACTGTATTTAATTTAATTTCTCCTATTATGAAAAAAAATGACCATATTTTCATTTATTTAAACTTTCCTAGGATACGTGGATGATTTCTAAACAATTTTAAGTAACTAAAGTTGACATGCTAGAGAAAGAATGCCAAATATTATTAGGTGTGCTTAAGTATTGAGGATGATGCTAGACCTCTGAAATCAAAATATTCTGACGGAATTTGTCTTGAAAGTGAAATAATTCACGTTCGACAACTCTTGTTAGATTGTCCTGTTAGTTATCCTAGCAACCGATCTGTTGGGTGACTGAATTCACTGTCTTGGGTTTGTTGTGTATGTGTGTTGTGCCCAGAGTTCATCATTGAATATGAAGATGCAATGCACGAGGCAGGGCTGTGGCATCACCAAACTGAAGTTTCCGGAACGCACACCACAGCCCAGCTGAAGCTGTCGCCTTATGTGAACTACTCCTTCCGAGTGATGGCAGTGAACAGCCTCGGGAGCAGCTTGCCCAGCGAGGCATCTGAACAGTATTTGACTAAAGCCGCAGGTAAAGCAGGATGTCCGTGATATGAAACAAAATCTAAAAGTTTTCCACCATTTGAAAAAGACCAAAACTTACACGTATGTGGCTGCTTACCTTTTAGAACCAGATAAAAATCCCACGGCTGTGGAAGGACTAGGATCAGAGCCTGATAATTTGGTAATTACATGGAAGGTGAGCTATGTATGAAGCCTTTAGCTTTCCTTGGTATATTTTACAGTGAAAAAATTGTTTTAAAATAATATTTGTATTAAAATTCCATTTCATCCATTTTGGGGGAAAAATATATATTATATATCTTTATTTAAGAGACAATATTACATAGTAGTTCAAAGCTTGATCCTTGGAGGCAAAATGAATGGGTGCAAATCCCAGCTTTGCCACTTACTCTGTGACTTTAAGCCAGTTGTTTAACGTCGCCATTATGTATCTGTATGATGGAAATAATAACAGGACCAACCTCAAGATTAGAGGAGTTAATGCATTATAAGGCACTAGAACAGTGCCTAGCACATATATGTGCTCAAAATATGCTAGCTAATATTATCATCATTATAGAGAACCATCTAGAAGACATTAATCCAAGCAGTCAACGTCTTCTTTTTTTTTGTTTCAGCTTATGTGTATTTTCTGGACTCGGAAAATTAACATACATTTACTTGTGTAATTTTAAAGCTTATTTTAGATAGATCCTTACATGCATACTTATATGCATACACATTTGTACATGCTTATATATAGACATACATGTAGAAACAAGATAGAAGGACAAGCCAACCTTTTTTTTGTTTGTTTTGTTTTGTTTTGTTGTGTGAGATCAGCCCTGTGCTAAGATCTGCCAATCCTCCTCTTTTTTTGCTGAGGAAGACTGGCCCTGGGCTAACATCCATGCCCATCCTCCTCTACTTTATATGGGACGCCACCACAGCATGGCTTGCCAAGCAGTGGGTCAGTGCGCGCCCGGGATCCGAACCGGCGAACCCCGGGCTGCCGCAGCGGAGCCTGCGCACTTAACCGCATGCGCCACTGGGCTGGCCCCCCAACCTTTTTTTTTTTACAAAGAAAAAAACAGTTCACAAGTTTCAGTCTCCAAGTAAAATAGACAATGATGTACTGTCACACAAACAGGAATATGTAAAAGAAACTGTATTACTGAAATGTTTGAAGTCACCCACCCTGACTGTGGAGCCAGAGTTTGAGAGGCTTATGTGGTGTTTACTACTTTGAGATAGAAATTAACAACCTTTGAAATGTTGATCCCAAACAAGCTTCGAATCTCATCACAAATGAAAAAAAGATAAAAGGTCCCTGGAGAAAATTGTTAATAGCTTGTATTGAAGTGTTTCAGTGCTCACTTTATTGAAGTCTGGGAATTGAGTTTGCTGTTCCAGTAAAAGGTTGTGCAGTCGATCTGTTTTTTCAGCTCTGATTATTTGACTTTTCTTGTAGCCCTTGAATGGTTTCGAATCTAATGGGCCAGGCCTTCAGTACAAAGTTAGCTGGCGCCAGAAAGACGGTGATGATGAATGGACATCTGTGGTTGTGGCCAATGTATCCAAGTATATTGTCTCGGGCACGCCGACTTTTGTTCCATACCTGATAAAAGTCCAGGCCCTGAATGATGTGGGGTCTGCTCCAGAGCCAGCTGTGGTCATGGGACATTCTGGAGAAGACCGTAAGTGTCTGATGCTGTTTTGTCTATACTTTTCTCCAGCAGAACAGACTTAATCAAGGTACAACCCAAGGCTATTTCCAGAGGTGCTTAGATTGGGAGGGCGGGAGGGAGGCAGCAATTATTTTGCTCAATGTTTCTGCATTTAAACAGCCTGCTATGTAGAAAATAGGTTCAGAATATTAAAGGTTATATTATTCTCAAAAATCAAATGAACAGAGATCAAAAAATCTACTCTCAGTCCTTGATAATTCACAGAATAGGGCTGGGGCATGCTTAAAGCCAAAATTATTAGACAGTGACATTTTTGAATGAAATTCAAAATAGCATTGATACTTCTGCCCCCCTTCTCTGTCTTTCCCTAGTCCCGATGGTGGCTCCTGGGAATGTGCGTGTGAACGTGGTGAACAGTACCTTAGCCGAGGTGCACTGGGACCCGGTACCTCTGAAGAGTATCCGGGGACACCTGCAAGGCTATCGGGCAAGTGAAGGGAGCCCTTTCGTGTCCTTTCCTTGGGACGGGACCCCAGCACATGCCAGATGCACTTCTCTTGGTTGCAGAGTTCCTCTGGTTTATCGCCTCAGGCAGGCCACAGCTAAAGCACCCCAACTAGAGCTGAATCAAAATCTCACTGCATCCAAAGTGAGGAAGAAATGTTCTCTCCATTTTTCCCGCAGATAATCTAGCATCCTGCCAACTAAACAATTAACAGATGTGCAAAATGGGGGAAATTAATGTGTAAAAAACTAGAATATAACAAAATGCATCTAGCTTTAAAGCAATACTTCTCACACGTGTTGGACACTCAAAATTATCCTGAAAATAATGTAGACTTTTTTTTAATAATTCAGATTGTAATTCAAGATCCTATAGTCCTAACAGGGTCAGCCTTATGAACAGCAATTATCTTTGTTCTTAGGAAGCATAGAAAGACTGATTCATAGAGATTTTTGACTGATAAGCTGTCAAAGAACTGTGGGTTTTTACACCCACAGTCACTACTTTGATTTGTTAACCCTGACTCCTAGAGGGCGCTTTTGACACTGCATCCTGTCAATTTTGTTTTTTTCTCTAACATTGCCAGATTCTCTATATATGTTGACTTCTCTCGAAAATGCCTTTAAACTCCTAAGAAGAATTTAAGAAGACTTAATAAACAACAGTTCTGGATTTTTGACCAAAGTTAATCAACACTTTGCTTATCCATCTCTCCAAAATCTGTCCTACAATTTAATACAAAAAAAAAAGTACTTTTAATTAGGCGATGCAGTTTGGCTTAGTGAGAGAGCCCCGGACTTGGAGTGGAGGGTCCACTGTGGCCTTAATAGCCCTGTGGCTTTGGGCAAATCACTCAGTAACCTGGGGGTTCATCTGTACTATAAATAATAAGAAAAATAATAAGAAAAGCTTCACTGTGGTTTTTAGGATTAAAGTAAATGATATATTTTACATGAAGTTGTATTAACTCTGGAAAAGTATATAAATATTAGGCAGTAATTTTTATTTTTAGAGGATTTTATATAAGTAAGACACTTAAATAGTTCTATTGTCTTCCATTTCCTATGTTCTGGAGAGAACTGTATGGGTGTCATGCCATTTCATTTATTTCGCTTATACTCCTCCCACAAAATAGTATAGCCCAGCTTCCTCACATATTCTTAATTTCCCTCATTATCTGTGGGCTTCTACTCTCTTGCCTCAGAATCAATATCTATCAGTTTTTCCAGTAATCTTCTTCTAAAATGCACCAAGGGAATTTTCTGGAAAATAAATAATAAAACTTTAATTTTATGAGTATGCGGAATCTTGTTTGCTCCCTTGTACGTCCCTGAATTTTGTTCTTGCTCTTTCAGATTTACTACTGGAAGGCACAGACTTCATCTAAAAGAAACAGACGCCACATCGAGAAAAAGATCCTCACTTTCCAGGGCAGCAAGACTCACGGCATGTTGCCCGGGCTGGAGCCCTTTAGCCACTACACACTGAACGTCCGCGTGGTCAATGGGAAAGGAGAGGGCCCAGCCAGCCCCGATAGAGTCTTTAATACTCCAGAAGGAGGTATGGGGTGGACATGTTACCGCACCAGGTCCGTTTTTGCCCGCCACCCAGAAAGCCAATCACCGAGATGACGAGATTGCAGAGAGAGAGTTTAATCACAAGGCAGCCAAGTGAGGAAAACGGGAGAACAAGTCTCAAATCCGCCTCCCCGAAAATAGGGACTCAGGAGTATTTATGGGGAAGGGGGCAAGGTGGTCTGAAATGATTGGAGGTGAGGAGAGATGAGGTAGTTGATGATCTGCACAAGCACAGTCAGGCTTCATGTCTCTAGGACACATGTTCACAGAATGGCGGCATTAGCATGCCCTAAGGGTGGAGTTCCAACCTCTTGCTGTCAAAAGGGCCCAGTTGATGGGTTGGTGGTCTCAATCTGGCCTGAAGTAGACAAAGTGTTCAGTTCCTGAAAAAAATAGCTCAAACACCCATTACCGTGGTAACCCAGGCTCCAGGGAGATGTCATTTATAGGAACCTAGTGGGAGTCAGATAGCATATTGCCCAAACAGCACAGTTAACAATGAGTAAATTTATCATGCAGATTTAAGTCCTGCCTTCCATTCTGATAAGTTTCTAGGTAAGGCTATCCCCTCCTTCTTCCTGGTAGAGGGAAGATACCTTTACAAATGGAAATTTTCTTTACAAATGTAAATGTCTCCTATAAAGGGTAGCCAGAACTAAGAATGGGCTTAGCATGACCCACCCATGTACCCGGAGATGTCTACAGTAATGGCCTTTTCTGGGGCAGGCCTCCCATCCCAAACTCCTTTGGTCAGTTAGTGGGGGTGGGGGTCAAAATGTCATTCAGGCAGAGACATATTTTGAGTTGGCAAATTCCAATCCCCCATAGTTACTAGCTGCTTAATCATCAATGGCTGTTTGCCAGTTTCAGACATGTCTCTGAGATCCTAGGAACATATGGCACATCCTAAGAGGCTTTGCATGACAAAAGGGCCCCAAATAAGATATATTCTGGAAGCCAAATGTGATTTTCCCATGGATGAACACTGCGCGCACAAGGCTGGCAAAGTGTCAGTTCATATATGGTCTGAGGGTGTGTGGAAGGCTCCAGAACACAAAATGCTGCCCTAAAACCCCCTCTCTCGACTTAAAATTTTTCTCCACACTTAGTCACACTGTCAGAAACCTTGCCAATGTGATGTTTATTTGGATCATTAACTTGCTGACCTGAAGCAAGATGTGTAAATTCTCTAAGCCTCAGTTACGTCATCTGGAAAGCGTGAGAACTCATGTGATAACCTGAGAAAAACATCTGGAAAGGAAAATAATTCTCTACGTTGTAGTTTTCTTCTTTCTCAGTGCACTACATAGTTTATGCTAACGTTGAGCTGAGTTAGATGGTTGGAAGTCTTGACAAAAAGGGTTGGGAAGAGAAGGGAAAGGTCATCGCAAGTCTGGACCACTGCAAGGGGAGGAGGAAGGGAGGACCAAACATGGGTTGATGTCGGGGCTGGGGCAGGAGGAGTCTGAGCACAGGGACATGGGAGCCTAGTGGATGAGAGAGAGAGGGGCCATGGAGTAAGAAAGATGAGGAAGGATTTGCAAAGGCACTGAATGGGCTTTACCTATTGTGAACTTTGCCTCAAGCCAGTATTGAAAATGAGCCAGATGACTTCTATGGATTCCTTAGGTCTTTTACATAAAAGCAGTTCACAAACAAACCCTGTCCTGGCTCCTGGCTGAAGGGCTCGTGATCTTGGCAGCTGCCCTGCAGCCCCTAGGAGCCATCCTGTGTCCCAACTCCCATCTCATTATAATGGCTTGTCCTGGGTCCCATTGCTCCTTAGAGGTTAGGGGCTCTTTCCACTCGAGGCTTTCACTAGTGAGACCCCACAATGATCCTTTAGATGGTTCAGGGGAAAGTGTCATAGAAGAGATGAACAGAGGATTAAAGGATAAAGAAGAGAGGAAGTAGAATGTCCGAAGATACAAAGGTATGAAACAGCATGGCTCCTTCCGGGAACTGCAAGTTGTGTAGCCAGGAATGGTGAGAAAAGAGAGAAAGGTCAGCTCACCTAGGGAGGACCTACAGCATGGATGGTCTTAAGTGCTATGGATATTAACCTGTAAGCCAGAGGCTCTTAACCTGGGGACTGTAGTCTCAGGGGGTCAATGAATGAGTTTAAGGAGCTCCATGAACCCCCTAATATTGTATGAAAAATGTATGTATTTTTCTGGGGAGAGTTTATGGCTGTCATCAGATTCTCAAAAGGGTCTGTGAGCTCCAAAAGTTAAGAGCCACTGGTAGGTTTGGGGAAGCTTAGAATTATGTACCAGGACTGTTATAGGCCCAGGTAAAGACCATCAAGGGTCTGAGGTGGGGCGGTGGCAGAGAGGAGAGGAGGGAATGGATATGGTTGAGATGAACGAGGTGGAATTGACAGGATTTAGTGTCCTGAGAGATGGTGGAAATGGGGCAGTGGGAGAAATTCAGGTTGACTGCCTGGTTTCTGGCCAGCCTTGGTGGTCTAGTGGTGAAGATTAGGCACTCTCACTACCGTGGCCCAGGTTCGTTTCCCGGTCAGGGAACCACACCACCTGTCAGTCGGTTGTCATACCGTGGCAGGTGCATTTTGCTGTGATGCTGACAGACTAGGATGTGGCCGCCCACTTACGAAAAATAATTGGCTATGAAAAACCCTATGAATAGCAGCGAAGCATTGTCTGATACAGCACCCGAAGGTGAGAGGATGATGCAAAAAGACCAGGCAGCGTTCAGCTCTGCTCTACACTGGGTCGCTAGGAGTCAGAATTTGCTGGATGGCACTAACAACAACTCTGGTTTCTGGCTGGAGTGACAGGAGGGACAGTGGTGCTATTAATGGGTCTAGGGAATATGGTAGGTTGGGTAGAGGAGGTAACAATCATGAGGGAGAGAGCTGCCACCATCCATCATCCTCAAGAGGAAGTGAGTGAAAGAAGACTGGGCATGTTTCCTCTGGTAGTTGGCCAGCCTCTGCCATAGAGAATCTGACACCCCACAGGCCTTCCCCAGAGCAGGGGTTTGCCAGTCATCGGGGCTTTGGGGCTTTTGTGCATCACCTCGAGATTCTGGGCATCTGTCTGTCTGCTCTCCGGATAGGAACTCCTCTGCACCTGGGCAGGCTGGCTCATGCCCAGAGCACAGCAGACAGGGTGCTCTGACTGTTTGGAGACAGCTGGTTTGTTGGGGAAAACAGTCCTTAATAGCCCAGAACACAGCTGCTTCTACTAAGAGGTCTAGTTAGAATAGTTTCACTTAGTCACTAATTTCCTTTCATTAAGACACCATTCATGAAACAAATAAGTACTGTCACTTTTAAAAATATTGGTTTGGGGGCCGGCCTGGTGGCGTAGCAGTTAAGTGCACGTGCTCCGCTGCATGGCCTGGGGGTCACAGGTTCAGATCCCGGGTGCACACTGACGCACCGCTTGTGAAGCCATGCTATGGCGGCGTCCCGAAGTAGAGGAAGATGGGCAAAGATGTTAGCCCAGGGCTAATCTTCCTCAGCTAAAAGAGGAGGATTGGCAAGAGATGTTAGCTCAAGGCTAATCTTCCTCACACACACTATATATATATGTATATATATATATTGGTTTGGGTCCATATAAAGGCAAAATCTTTATGTATTTTGAGAGGATGGTTTTAATGAGTCTAAATGGAAATGGTGAGAAAAAGAGGAAAAGATTAGCCAAACGGGTCCCCGTCACAGGTTTCTGTTAATCTATTTTCAGCTGAATCAGGAGCAAGAATGAGTTACAGAAAACAAAAACGTTGATGAGTTGTGTGGACGTGGTGAAATATGTCATTTTAATACATTTTGAAACATTCAGAAACCTTTGCGTTGACTGTATGTTCTCACTGTAAGTCCCCAGTGCTCCATCATCTCTGAAGATTGTGAACCCCACACTAGACTCGCTCACTTTGGAATGGGATCCACCGAGCCGCCCGAATGGCATTTTGACCGAGTACACCTTAAAATATCAGCCCAGTAAGTTATTGGGAGAAGGGAAAGGGGAAACATGGTTTAAAAAAGGGAAAAAACTTAACTGGTATCTTAATATACAAACTGGTTATTTTTTTATAGCTGTAGAATGTATACTTATACCTTCAAGTGTTATTCCAGAAGGAACTTCAAATCATACTTTTTAAAGAAAAATGACATATATGCTATTGAAAATTAAGCAGTGTGTAGAACAAGGCAGACTTTTGAGTGTGAGGTGTAGGTGGGGCTATTGTTAGGTCAGGTAGGCATTATCTGTAAGTGGAGTATAGTAAAAGCAGCGGGGTTCCTCTGGCACAAGGGCTCTGAAGATGAAGTGTGGGGTCGTTTATCAATACATGACTCCATCTGCAAAAACACAGAGATAAGAAATGCAATTGTGATTCAACTATAAAAGTCCCCTAGCTAGAAGCCAATGGGTGAGAATACATTTCCCCTTGTTATGCCATATTATAGAAGCTATAAAAAGTTATCGGTTATGTCAGGCAAAGGGTGACTAGGATTACAAAAGCCAATGTAATCTAGGTTTAACATTTTTGATTGACACGTTTATTTGTAATAGTATTCTTATAGCAATTAATGGAGAATGCACTTGTTTATTATTTCTTATTGACAGTTAACAGCACACATGAATTAGGCCCTCTGGTAGATTTGAAAATTCCTGCCAACAAGACACGCTGGATTTTAAAAAATTTAAATTTCAGCACTCGGTATAAGTTTTATTTCTATGCACAAACATCAGCAGGATCAGGAAGTCAAATAACAGAGGAAGCGGTAACAACTGTGGATGAAGGTAAGATGGGTATGTATAAAATCCGTATAACTATAAGTATCCTGAGACAAAATCTTTAACCTAAGTTTATGCTTTCTCCTTCTTACCATGGAGCGTCCATCTTAACCAATTAATACAAACCCTTACTTGTAATTTCTCATTCTGATGTATATATAATCAATTATTTAATTCATATTAGAATAACAATTTGATATTTATTTTCCAAGTCTATGTGAAATTTTTAAACTTATATTAAAATATTGAGATGCGATTGGGAAATTGCAGTATTTTGCCACACTTGAATTTGAAGTTCAAGGCAATGATTTTTCCTATCTGCAAGTTAATATATATATATACACACACACATACATACACATACATATAATATACGTATATATTCACACACAGACATAGTTACCTATACACAAATAAATATATGTAATTCTAGTTCTGGTCTTGATTCACTGGAAAGTAATTTGCTGGTCCACGTACTGATTTAGGTTTTCTAGCAAGGAAATTGAAACAGTTATTAAATAGTACATTTATTTCATATTTGAGCATGGAACTTTGTATTTTGGTATGCCATCTGGTACAGAGAAAGCAAAGTAGCCCCATTACAGTATTGAGAAAAGGAATTCACACTTCCTTTCATGTTTTTAAAAATAATTTTGAAAAACTTTAGATTCAATGAAAACAATCAAATATATTATAAAAGATTTTCTGTTTTTGCATGTCTCTAAATTATAGAATTGCTTAAAGATTATTTATTTGATTATCTTCCATAGCATAAGAAATTGACATTTCTACCCAAAAAAAATTGGTTTGAAATATGCTAAGCCTTCTTATATAATAGGCAAGTATGAATAATGCACCTTAAGTAATGTTTGGATTTGATTGCTGGGTAAGTTTGGGAACACCAACCTGTCTTTGTCTCCTGTACCTGATGGGGTACACTTCACTCGTCTTGCATGCTTTAGCATTTTAATAAGTGTTTTTATATAGCTTTACATGCTCCTTGGTGTGTTACATCTAACTATATAGTGTCCTATTTCTGTTTCCCTTCATTAAAGCTGGTATTCTCCCACCTGATGTAGGTGCAGGCAAAGGTAAAATAATTCATCTGCATGACTTTATACATGTGTGCAATTTGCAATGTTAAACATGGGGAAGTGCAGCATGGGTTAAAAGAGAAAATAAAATGAGCTTTGAAACACCAAAAGAAAGAGAAGATCTTGGAAGATCTTGGCTTTAACATTAATGTCTAGTCTTTTTTTACAAATAGCCACACCTTGAATTCCCCTAAAACTTTTTCTCAAGACTTATCCCTGGTACAAATGCTAATCTTAGCTTTTAATGATATGATTGTGGCTGGGTCAGAAAGGACCAAAACTGTGGATTTGTCACAGATCCTCTATATGGCCATGCCATATTTTAGGGGTTCAAAAATATTAGTCCTGTGATGAAAACAGCCTGTGAGAAATCCTATCAACCGAGCTTCCTGTTCTAATCTAAAGTAGCTGTCCTCCTCACAGACGCAGTGTACACTCTGCTGGCATTACACTACACTGTCCATTTGGAATTTTGGCTTCGCAGTACCCTCCAACTGGCCCGAGGCTAAACATCCCCCCACTGGGATCCCCTGTGAGCAAGTCTTCCAGTTGGCCTGCGTGCTCTACTCAGTTGTGTTCTTCTATCTTGTCTTCACCAAATGGCTCATGTCTCCTCCTCCTAGGTAATAGGCAGCAATCACAGTGGGTTACTTTTGTTCTCCTTTATTTCTCAAAGCTCTCTGGGTGAGAAAGATTTGTTGGGAGAATGGTGCTTGAATAAATTGTAGTAGTCTTCCACCTGAGACAATCCCAAAGACCCCCAATCTTTGACCCTTGGCTGTTGGTTGGTCTGTTAGCTTTTTAGAGAGCAGCGGAGTCCCAGCCACAGGGCGCTGTTGTCGTGTGCACTACGCCTGGCCAGGGGTTTTCATGGGCTTTGACAAACTAAATGAGTACAAATAGGAATGAAGAAAAAGAAGACTAAGAGAAATAAGTGCTTTGCCCAAAATTAATCAAATCGTGTGAGCTTAGGTCTGATACATATTTTCTGTTTTCTTAGAAGTCTGCTTGTATTCAGTCTTGGTAAATTATTCAATAACTCCCAGATCTACCTGATCTATACCAGGTAATAAATAACTCCCAGATCTATCTACCCATCTATCTACACCAGATAGATCTGAGAGTTATTGAATAAGAACTGTAGCCATTTTCAGTAATCTTAATAATGTTGTATATGTGTTTTTAGACTTGAAAGAACAAAGTTGTAAAAATTCAAAATCTCTACAATATTGTAGAAAGACGTAAACCTCTCTTTTATACAGATGCTTCTTTCCTGGGATAATTAGATATCAATTTAAATCCTGAGTCATTTTACAATAATTTACTGCTATGTCCCCCTAGTAATGGTTCTCTGAGGCATCCAGAGAAAGCCTGGCCCCCTCCTGCGCAGTGGACACGTCGCTGCGGCTCCGCCTGGAGTCGGGAGCAGAGCACTTGCCCTGCAACAGGGCTGCCTGTGAAGTGAGTCTGAGTTTCCCTTGACTTGTCTTGTTAGAAGAGGATATGCGTTCCACTGGAAAAAAATGTCACCTGCTGATTTTAATGAATTAAAACTAACTAAAAGAAATCTTTATTAAAATAGTTTAGGTTTTACCATTTAATGTGACTAAATTGAATTGTGAGTTACTTATGATTATAGAGCCAAGTGAAAATGGAGTGTTGGAAGGTTCAGGAAGCCCCCAATGTTGAAATCTGATGGATCGCGGATAAGAAGAGAAATAGTGTTTAAATTAAAAAAGAAAACTAAATCTAACCTTATTTTCTATATTGCTTCTTTTAATAGTGCGCCAGTAATTAAACATTGCTTGCATAAGAAGATGACATTTTACCATGATAAGACTTTAAACTGCTCAGGAATAATTTATTATCCTAGGTCTTCCTTCCTCAAAAATATTTCCTTTTTCAATCTAAGAATGACTTCTATCCTCTTCTCTATTTTCCTTCTCCATGCAGAGTTTAGATACTCGCTGAGAGAGAAGAAAAGTAAAAATGTTCCATGATCCTTCCAAACTTTAATGTTTTTATATATCTTTTATATTTTAATTTAAAACAGCATGAAAGAGAATAAATAAGAAATGGGTCCTTGAGAGAAAACATGTGTGATATCCTTAGCTATAGAAGCATCAGCTTCTAATGATTTTAATTCACTTCTGATCAAAGAGGAGAAAAGAGATGCATCTGAGTTTACATTTTTAAATTTTCTTACAGATTTTAAGAGATGTTAATGAAACTCAACCCTCAAGCTTTCAAATATATAATTACAAAAGAATTATTTAAACCACAAAGTAGAAGCCAGGCTAATTCAATTAGCTATATAATGCCATACTAACTCTTTTCCTTAATATTCTCCTGAATTTGAACAATTTGAGCATGGAAATACTCTTGAGATCTTCAGGAGTCACTTATTTTGATCTGTGTCCTTGTTTAGTTAAAGCCCCTTAGTATCTGTGTAAGATTTGTAGTTGTTTGGCTGCATTTGTTCAATTTCTGTGTCCCTTTAAATAGTTTCAGGGTCTGGGACTCTAGGAGATAGACCTGTGAAGGCATCTATAGAAATGAACCAAAAACTCGCAGATAATGGATTTGAGTTATGGTTGGAGTATTGCTGACGGATGGACACTGCTTTATCCATAGCATTTTACTTTCTCACCCTTGGGACCAGTCATGAGAACACTTTTGGGGGTGACGAGTTGAGGTAGGGGAATAGGGAGAAACTAACTGGTAAGACAGGAACTAAACCTGGTTCTTGACCTAATTAGCAGCCGACTGTGGTCAGCCAGTTAGGACTGAGCAGAGGAGAGCACTGAGGAGCTGATGAGGAATCCTCTGTGGTCAGATTCTCACTGTATAATTATACCAGAGTTGGTCCCGCCACTGCCAATTAGCTTAAGAAACAAGGAAAAGCTAAAGAACTAGTAAATAAAAATCAGATTTAAAGTTCACAACTTTATTTGGCCTGAACCAAAAAAAAAAGACTGTATAGAAGGTTCACTCAGTTCAACAACTAACGTCTATCTGACACGTAAAACGCACCAGCCTTTTTTAAGGCACTGTGTGTCAAAATAGTAAGATAGATGCTGTCTTTGATATGCTTAAAATCTGGCAGGTAAGACCAACACATAAAAAAGAAAAAAATAGATGCTGAACTAGTAATTTGAACAAAAAGTATCTGAGCATAGAGGAATGAACCATTTATTTTGCCAGACAGTCAGGAAAAGCTTCACAAAGAAAGCAATATGGAACTGGGCCTTGAAGGACAAATAGAATTTTGGCAGATGAGTTAGGGACTGGGTGTGTGTCAGTTCTTGGCAGGGGGCATAAGCAAAAGCACAGGGTTTCAAAACTCACAGAACATTTGGGTTATACCCAGCAGTCCAGTTTGTCTGAAATGAAGAGTGTATGGAAAAGAGAACCTGAGATATGACTGAAGAGGTAGGTGGGGCCAGATGTGAGTGGTCCTTAGAGGCCATGAGTGCCCTGCTAAGGAATTTGTGTTTACCTGTGGGCAGAAATCAGCCATCCACATTTTAAACAGGGAAGTGAAGGATCAGATAGGTAGTTTAGGAAGCTAAAATGGAGGTAACTACACTGGTGGGATCTACCAAGAAAGACTTAGAGTAGGGAGAGGGACGCGAGGCAGACTGCTGAGAAAGCCCTGATGAGAAACCACACTAGCATGGGCCAGGAAATTGGCCCGTTGTCTGACACGTCATAGATGCTCAGTGAGTATTTGTTCAGTAAGAAAGTGGTTGAGTGGGGAGTAAAAGCAAGGCGAGTTAGAATTCTCTATGATAAAAGTGGCTAAGCAGCATAACCTTAGGAAATTGCAATATCTTCTCTAGTATTTAAGAATAAGCTAAATGCTCTTCTGTTGGAAGTATTTCACCGTGGTTCTCCCCTGAACATCTTCCATAATTACATCAAGACTAAATTCCTCAGTTCCATGATTCCAAAACTTTTTAAAGAAAATTAATATTTTGCCTGGGTTCTCTGCCACTGATGTTTTACACCCACGTTCATTTTTACTGTCTCTATTGATTGATCATATTCCTATCATTATCTATTCCTTTGAGAGGAAATCTCAGACCTAAAATCACTTAGGTCCACAGAAGGACTCTACATAGTTCCAAAATTGGTTTTGCTCTTTATTATTTCCTACCCTTAGCACAGAAGAGCACACGATATACATCTGATGGTGAATTATATCTCAGAGGTCAAGTGCATTATTTAATTTCTTTTTTTTTTTTAATTATTTGTTTATTGCAGTAACATTGGTTTATAACATTGTAAAAATTTCAGATGTACATCATTATACTTCTATTTCTGCATAGATTACATCATGTTCACCACCAAAAT